CTCAGCAATCAGGCACGGAGTGTGTGTAATGTTAGAAATCTAGATCTTAGCCGGGCTCGGTGGTTCAACCTGTAATCCCGCGCCTTTGGGAGGCTGAGGTGAGTGGATTGCCTGAGCCCGCGGGTTCGAGACCTGCCTGGGCAACGAGAACTCATCTCTACAAAAAATCAAAAAAATCAGCCGGGCGTGGTAGCGCATGCCTGTAATTCTGGCTATTTGGAAGGCTGAGGCAGAAGGATCGCCGGAACCCAACAGGTCAAGGCTGCGGTGGCCAGGAGCGGCCACAGCATTCCAGTCTGGACGACAGAGTGAGACTACAACTCAAAAAAAAAAAAAGAAATCTAGATCTTCATACTCATTAGGATAAATAGGCTATATGTCCATTTATCAATTAATGAGTTGGATCAGAGTGACAAAATTCACTATTTTATTGAGCTTCTACTATTGTCCAGATACTAGCACTAGTGGAAAAAAAAAGAAAAGAAAACTCTGAATAAGTGCTATGGGGAAAGTAAATCATAAAGTAGATTCATAAAGTGTGGAAAGGTAAATGTGCTATGTGGAAAATTAATGGCATTCCAATGAGGACAAAATGAGGTGGGGTGTCATTGCATTTTATTTATTAGCAGAAGAACATTCTCCTCAAGAAGGTGAGGTTAAAACAAAAATCTGAGCAAGGTGAGTGTGTGGATTAAGACTATAAAAATCATTAATCCTACAGAGCTAGAACTCTTTTGCCTAAACTGCTATGAGGAACAATAATGTTGAATGGGCTCACTTCTGTGTGCTTTGAATAAGTGGACTTCTGGGTCAAAAAAAAATGGTCAATTTGGCCCAAAACTAATCGTAAAATTTCTGACTTGCATATCAAAATCTCTTGTATAAACCCACACATTTGTGGTCACTTGATTTTGACAAAGCTGCCAAAAACACGCAATGGAGAAGGAACATATCTTCAACAAGTGGTGCTGAAAAAATTATACATTAGAAGAAGAAAATCAGACCCTTATCTCACATCATATGCAAAAATCAACTCAAAATGAATTAAAGACTTAAATGTAAGACCTGAAACTATAAAACTACTAGAAAAAATACAGGGGAAATGTTACAAAACATTGGTCTGGGTAATGGTTTCTTGGATATGACCCTAAAAACACAGACCAAAAAAAAAGCTAAAATAAGCAAAAGGTTTGTGTCAAACTAAAAGGCTCCTACTTCTCTGCTGGCTGCCCACTGCTGCTCTCCTTTCTCAGTCATTGAATCTTTGAGGTTAGCATAGCCAACCCCTTCATCACATGAGTGTGGCCTCTCTGACCACTCTGTGTGATAAACAGTGCATCCCTTTTCTCTCTGACGCCATCACTGCCTTCCATGACCGTATGATGTGAACTTAATGCGTTTAGGGCTCACACCAGCATATAGACTCCAACTCCACAAGGCATAAGTCTGGGCCTATTTGTCTGGAAACTTTTTTTTTTAAAGCTTGGTGTTATGCCATCAGCATTGTTGTTTTGTTGTTAATATACAAAGACTGATAAATGTGCTTAATTTATTCAGGATATATTAGAATAGATCATACTAAGAATGTCTAAAAAATTAAAACCAAAACTCAAAAATTAATTCTAGAAGTTATATTCACATCAGAAAAATATTTGTATATTTTTAAATTCAGGAAGAAAATCTGACACTATTGAAAAAAAAAATGAAAGGCATCACAGACAGAGATGGCTCCCAGAATGAGTGATGATTCATTTGAAGAGGCAAAAGGAAACAGTAAGTAATAAACCTTTAACTTTATATAAATAAATTATCTGCATATATTTTCCCCTGAATCTGTCATGTAGCTTGTCCACAATTTCCCTGAACTTGTGTCACATAACAATAAGCACAAATTACATATAACAAATAAATCCCCCCAGCATTGCATGACATAGTACCCCATTCTTCTGTGGGACACCCAGACCAAAATCACAGGGCTCTTGTTCATACAGAGATGGGGTGGGGTAACTTGGAGGTTCAGAGCTTAGGTCAGATTCAAAGAAAACTGACTTCCAAGTTGAGTGCTTCTCTTCCCAGCGCTCTCTTATCTAAGGCTGTGTGTGTGTGTGTGTGTGTGTGTGTGTGTGTGTGTGTGTGTGTGTGTGTGTGTGTGTGTT